TTAGGGCCCTGTTTGGGAGGAATTAAATTTTTCTACAATAAATCAATTCTCATTTTCAACCACACATTCTTCAATAAAATAATATTTTCCATCACTTCAATAATTTTTCTTCTTTTTCAACCACACATTTCCCATCATATCACTATTCAAAATCAATTCTTCCCCCAAAAATCTCTCCCAAACAAGCTCTAGATTTAGAATAAAGTCAAGTTGCATTATTTTTCCCATAATAATATTTTGTGCCAAATGTCAAAAATAGATTCATTAGTTGGAGCAAAAATGGGAATATGTCCAAAAGGCCAAAAGATACATACAAGAAGTTGTGAACATACACTCATTTTGAAACTCATTAAAATAAAAATCCCAAACCCAAAAGTTAGATTGTGAGAGAAGGCGTAATAATGCTTTGTGCAACTTTCTCATTTTAATATCGTCTAACTTAGTTTGTAAACAAGCTAACTGTCTGTTCAACATATATGCATCTCTTTTGAAAAAAAAAGGGTTCTATTTATATGATAACATGAAAATCAATTTTATTCAGAAAAACAACTGCATAAATCTTATCTTGTTAATCAGTTCGTCTACCGAGTATGTGCCATTAAAGGCACTCCACCCAATAGGGAGGAGGATGCAAAAAGAGATCCAATCTGAATCTAATGTACAAGTTACCCAATTTTTAAGTAAAAGTAAGATCACATTTTTCCTAGTGAAAAAGGGAAGTCATTTTACTATCTTTTTAGCCAAAAGGGGACTGTTCTAAGAAAGGAAATAATAAGTGGGCATCACGAGCTCCACCATTTCTTCCCGACAAACTTCAAAAACATATTCCAGCAAAATTTCAATTGGATTTTAATATGTCTTATTTGGTTGATCTTTAATTTGGTTTCAAATTTCAATTCACTCACCAAATTGACAAGAATAGCTTAGATGCAAGTCATTTCATGATTGTTATCACTGCACCATTTGGCTAGAGAATCGTTGAGATATTGTATTCAGTTAGGCCCTCTTTTATTGGACAAGTTTTCCATGGAAGATGAAAAACTTTTTTGTCATTTTCCACTTTTTAGAGTGTTTGACAGGAAATATTTTTCAGGTAATTGATTTTCCACTCTCTTCATTTGCCACATTTTCTTGCTTTTTGAG